TGAGCATTTCATCATTGATTAGCCGGGCATTTATTGTGTTTATGCACCTACCGTGCTGGAAGCATCGTGCATCGATTTGCTCGCTAGAGAAACATCATTCTAATCAGGACTATATGAATCATGCTTTTCTTTGTGTACTTGATAGCATATAAGTACAACCAGTTTCTTTGACGTCGTTCAGAGAAGCGTGAGGGTGCTGTAGGGCACAGATGCGAGATGCATTTAGCACTGGAGGTACTCAAAATCCTTTTTCAAGCTCTCATAAAATTTTTATGTGGCAACCTCACCCCCTCCTGCCTCTTTAGTCGTATAGTATACTACCACCTCTAGGTTCTTAGAGTAAGGAATGTGGAATGTGCAATTTATAATGAAATATGATCTTCGAGGATTTGTTTGCCTGCTAAGAAATATGCCAACCGATAGTTTAGAAAATACTTAATGTGCTTATGAATGTATCCAGTTAAAAATTAAAATTGCATACAGTATGCAAGAAATCTGAAGTAAAAATGGCCAGTACATCAGAAGCATTACACTGCCAAATTATGAAAAGCACTATTCTTTTTGACGACTAGGAATTAATCGCTCGGAAAATAATTAAAGTGGCCATTTGCATTACTTTGCACTATGTACTGTTTTCAATTTTGATTTTCCCGTGATAAGCACATTAAGCTAAAAGCCCGAAAGAGCCGTCTAGGTTCATTCTGATCAGGCATCGAGACCTGCATTCATTGTGTCCTGTTCTGCCGTGAAACTTCTGTCTTTATGAGAGGCTTCTTATCTGTGGCTTCAATTCATGCAAACAGTTTCTAAGATTTGTCGCAAGGGGCGTTAATTTTTTTTATTAATAATCCATATCTAGATGCATTTCATGCGAGCAAAACACGCGAGTGTTCTCTTTGAATAATTTTCAAAATCCTCAGTGGCAGTAAACATGCATTGCCAGATCATCTTTCACGTAGCACGTCAGTAGTAGATTTGTTATACCAGACTATAGCACACTGGCACTTGCATACGAATGGTGATATCGTTTCTGATCTTAATCAACGCCGCCAGTGCTCACCCCTCTACTCTTCATTTCTGATCCACATTTCAATTTCACTCCGGTTTCCCAACTTTCTGTGGCAGAGGTTCGAACCAGTTCGAAGTTGTATTTCAAACGAAACAAACGGCCATTTCTAATTTAGCACAGGTATTGGAGCAGCACATGATTCGAGGCATACGATAAACAATGTTCCTCGTTACTACGACAGCGCCAAGCTAAACTACAAGGCGTGTTAGAAAATTAAGCTGATCCGAAGCTCCGATTCTGCTTAAGATGTCAATTGCAGTCAGGCTGTTGAAAGCGCCTGAAACGCATTCCGCGTTCCGCGTTCCACCTCTCGGATAAACTTGCTTTCGGTTCGAAAGGTCAGTCAGTCGGTCAGTCTTTCAGTCAGACAGTCAGTCAGTCAAACAGTCAGTCATTCAGACAAATAGTCAGACAGACAGACAGACAGACAGACAGTCAGACCGTCAAAGAGACGGACAGTCATACAGACAGACGGTGAGACAGACAATCAAACCCTCGGACAGACAGACAGGCAGACACACGGAAAGACAGACAGACAGGCAGACAATGAAACTCTTTATTTATCATTCTCGTTGTTTATTATAATGCGTGTTATTTTCTTTGCTTGTCGCGTTGTTTGTATAACATCTCCATTTCTGAGAAGTTATTCCATTATGTACGGAAGACGTTAAATATGACCTGCGAATAATATAACTCTACCTCTCCGGATTCAGCTATTACTTGCGGAGTCCTGAGGAACGCAACCAGGAAGTCTGTCTCCCATTCATAGACTCGCAAAGTTAAGATTGACAGACCTTGCCGACAGCTCCACGCGCCCAAATTCTAGCGGGACTTCGACAGGCATATCGTCTGGCTTGCTGCTATACTCTATTCTTATATTTTGCTGTTTTCTACACTGCCGTCGTTCAGCAATGCTGCTCATTCATCTCTGGGTACAGAAAACATTCTCGAATGTGACGACAGGATATCTGTGCATGTAAGTCGCTATCCTGCTTCGAAAACAGGCAATGGCCACTAGTCCAATATGGCAGTGTATCGTGTAGTTTTCCTGTCGTTGTTTCTCGAACCTCAGACTTTTCCTCGTTTATCTTTCAGAACCTTTTTTTTGTTTTCATTTGTCGAATGCCTCTGCCTTAGCCAACGAGGTAATAGTTTTTCGTAATGAGGTCTTCGCTTTGCGTAGTCTACATCAGTGGTCACTGCTGAGTGGACGACCCGACATGAATGGCAGCGTTGTTCATATCTTGACAAATTTTGTATTCCTCATCTGCTGGTTGACTCCTTAGTCCTGATATTAATTATTCGGGTTACGAATCGCGTTAGTTATCACGTAATTGCAAACATTTCTGGGAAATGTAAAGCACGCACAAAATTAATTAGTCATCTACTTCAGGTAACTGGAGGTTTGGTTCTCTTCTAATGTTTACTCGCAATAATCATCCTTTCTGTACTGAAGCTTGACAATGTAGCCATATTTTATAATGCTCTCATCGATGATCAGAATTCATGAATCTTCAGTTATTCTGCCCAGATGTTTGCCAAACGTCCTTCTGTCAGACCGACACTAAGGGCATGGAGCGTTGCATCGTCTCTTGGACGCCATCCCATGCTACATAACCTTTCAAGATTCCTGACAAATCTTCATGACTACTTTGATATGTCGACAGAACTAATCCCGGACATGATATTATTAAATGCCTTGGTCGTCTGCGCATTCTCCTTCTCCGGGACTCTAGACTGAGTTTATAGATAGCAAACTTTTCAGAGGTGTACGGAATATTCCCTAATTCGTAATTTGAAATCCGCTTATTAAAACTCCAGGGAATCCAATGTTCCCTCATTCGGTCATCTTGCATTCCTTCATTCATGATCAGTTGTTTATGTAATGAATAATTCGTTGGTTAGTTGATATTTGAGATCGCAATTTTTTCTGATCGCCTGTGCAGCAGCCTTAACCAGGCTATAGTCTGAGACCTCTTTTAATTGCACAAACTCTTTGAGCCAGATTCAGATTCGGAAGAGTACTAGTTATTGAATATATCCGATCTATCAGAACATGGTCTGCTTCTGGGTGGCTTGCTACGTGATGTCATGACAAGAGTCCGCCTTGTGACCCCTGATCGGATCTAGAGAAGGAATGCTTCAGTCGCGAGGTTATCTTCGACTGCCGTTCTCTATAGGTGGTTGAGTCTCGTCATATCAGCAGTCACTTCAAGGGCTCCTTATTTTGCCGTCTGTATGGTGTATGGCATTTCTCTATTGCCCATTTTAACCATTCTTGTGAATTGGAGAGGATAGTAAAATCATGATCACGCGACAACAACCAAAACTTTCGTTTTAAATAGTCGATAAAAAAGTATATGAATAGAGTGAATAGAGTTATTGTTTCCGCTCCACTTAAACGAGGGATGCTCGTTTCTCTCTCTTTCTTAAAAACATCGGTGCAGCCATGCCCAGAGTTCCTTTCGATCCCATTTAGAAGTTGATTTCCTCTGTTCAAATTCAGGAAATGATGTGGCATGCCAAAAAATTTCACCACGATTTCATAGCGGTTATTTTAGTAAAAGAAAGCCATAGACTTTTACATTTGCAAATCAAATATTTTTTACAGTATTGAGGCAAGAAGGAAAATGTGGTCCGAAGGTTGTTCAGCTTCATTTGCACTCTGTTCACGAACAGGAGTCAAAAACGGACATTCCATTAAATTATCATGCATAAAATCTATTCTGTAACCAATGTATTGTGTCTTGGTAGAGACCTTGACATGGATTCTGCTGTCGAAAGAAATAATTCATCAGAAGGGAAAGAAAATCACTACTGATCATGGGTTTGGAATTGGCAGTCACTCACGGCAATAGTGCTTCACCATTTCCAATGCCTCAGTATGGTGAGTGATATATTTTACTGTCCATTTGAAACCGTACTATATGCAGTAAATTATCAGTTGGAAGAAGGAATAATATTATGACGTTCTGTTCCCACCGTAACCCGAAAGGAATAAGGAAGTAGAGCAAGAAAGTCTGTCACCATTGCAATGTCGGTCTTCCTTACGCTTATGTAATGTGTAACTTCTGACACCGTTATTTTCATGAAGTTAGTGGAGGGGACGCTGAGCTTCATTTCTTTGTCGTGAGCCAGGAGTGCTCTATTGTTAAGGCATAGTCGGCAACAGCTATATGATGCGCTTAGTCCGTATTCCCATGTTTCCTTCCCACTCATTTATCAAAGTGGTACTGATTTATCGGATCTACCTCGGAAGCAAAAAAAGCGAGTGACCCTAGTGGAATTCGAACACAGGAGAACTCGGGACGCTCTATCGACCGAGTAATCCTGGTCTGAAGCAGGTGTAGTGAATTCCTGATAAAGACAAAGATTGCCCTCCGCTGGAATCGAACTCCACCTCCAGAGTCTCGACCTCTGACGCACTGTGCGTCGCACCGCCTGTGGAATAACGAAAGGAATAACGAGCT